ACAAAGCCCATGAGTGGAAGTGGAAACACCGGACGAGACAAATGATATGCTGAAGAAGCTAATCCAACTGCTGGGCGAGAAAAAGCATGGATCTGGCAAATGTTTTAAATGTGGAAAGCCAGGCCACTTCGCCCGCGAGGGCTGAGGGAGACGAATCCAACTCCAGTCAGTCGTTAAACTAAAACGAGCCAGNCCATGCAGCGCTGAAGTGGCTACTACAGTTTAAGAATCCAGACGGACAGCTAGCTCGGTGGATTGAGAGACTGCAAAGTTATGACTTCGCTATTGAGCACCACAAGGGAATTGTCCACGGTAATGCTGATGCCATGTCCCGCCGACCATGTAGCCTGGAATGTAAACACTCCTCAAAAGCTGAGGACAAAGAGGACATTACAGATGTCCGTCAAACGACAATAAAACCAGCGGAAGAGTGGAATGAAGAACAGCTACGAAAGTCTCAGCAGGGAGATCCAGATCTGGAGCTTTTGATGCATGGACTGGAGGTGGACAGAAGGCCAACTAAGGAGCAAATGGCAGCAGAAAGCCCCATCGCAAAGGCGTACTAGGTAAAATGGAACAGCTTAAAATTAATATCTGGCTGTTTGCATAGGGCATTGGAAATCGAAGATGGCCAGTGCTCCCGCAACCTGATAGTAGTTCCAAGGGTAATAATTCCGGATGTACTCAAGGAATTCCACAATGGTACTAGTGTAGGGCACCTGGGAATCACGAAGACCCTGGAGAAGATTAAGCAGAGGTTCTGTTGGGTTGGTTGTCGGCAATCGGTCGCAGAGTGTATTGCTAACTGCGCGCAGTGTATTGCAGCTTAACGGCCGAAATCCAAAAGTCATGGCCAGATGAAGCAGTATAACTCAGGTGCACCTTTCGAGCGGATCGCCATGGATGTAGCGGAGCCAATTCCTATGAGCACACAGGGAAACAAATACGTCCTTGTCGTTATGGACTACTTTAGCAAATGGCCGGAGGGATACCCGATTCAATACCAGGAAGTAGCTGAGGTATGTACCTACAATTGGGTTGCGAGATACGGTGTACCTATAGAGCTGCACTCTGACCAGGGAAGAAATTTTGAATCGGCGGTGTTCCAAGAGATGTGCCAGATACTGGGTATCCGGAAANAAAGATTCGGATGTCCGCATACCCTTGTTCCTGATGGGATACCGGTCAGCAGTGCATGAAACAACGGGTAAAACTCCTGCAAGGGTAATCTTCGGCAGTGAGCTCCGTTTGCCTAGTGACCTGAAGTTTGGGATGACTGGTGATGCTAGAAGAATTGGAAAAGAGACGTCAAACATCCTGGAAGAGGAGCTGAGAGAGATACATGCTCTTGTGAGACAGCACACGCAAATGATGAGTGACAAGATTAAAGCCAGGTATGATAAGGCGATGAATTCCGAGGATTTCCAGGAAGGAGATTTGGTGGTGCTGTACAATCCACAACGGAAGAAAGGTTTGTCCCCAAAACTACAATGCAACTGGGAAGGTCCGTAAAAGGTCGTAAAACGGCTAAATGACGTGGTGTATCGGATCCAGACCGTTGGGAGACCAAGAAACAAGATGAAGGTGGTCCACTTGGAAATGCTTGCAGCGTTTGGAACAGCACGTGTGTCTGATCGGGACGATGAGACTTAGGTGGAGGACAGTGTGACAAATACTGCGCCAAGGCGAAGCGAACAACGAGAAATAGGCAGAATGTTCGAGGAATGACGTATAATGTTCCACAAAGAGAAACGTCAAGTTGGGTGAACACTGCGAACAGCGATAGAAAGAGAATGAGCGATAAACTTCAGAACACTCTAGAGTTGCCATAAGTGCGAGCGCAGGTATATAAGGGCGCCGCCACAGCGAAGTGAGGGAGTTACAAGTCAGCAAGCTACAAGTAAATTGAGCCAAGGAGTGAGTTCCGAATAAGCAGGCTATAAGTTTAATTGTGTTAACAAGTTTAGTAAAGCGTTGTTATTGCTTTAACAAGTATTGTATTGTTTACTGTATTAGCGAATATTGTAATTTGTTTGTTGTACAATAAAGTTAATTGTACTACAATTTGGTCATCGTTAGCATTTATTTAACAATCTAGCGATACGAACCGAGAGATTTGGGAAATCCAGACGAGGTTCCAAGGATAATCGTAACAGTATTGTCTGATTCCTCGCACAACAACGGTGAATCTCCGATTTCGCCTCAGCCGTATAACGAAGTAATGTACGCTGTGAAGTGAAACGCTGTAAAATGAGATGCTGTATAAAGAGGTATGAGTGTACTTTTACTTTTCATGCCCACAAAGGTGTGTTGGAAATGTTGTACGCATTAGGGCATTAGGGATTCGGGATACCGGACACTTTTCCATATCCCGGTATCCTGGTATTGCAGCCCCGTGAACCCGAGATTTTAACTGGTTGATTTACATTATGTAAACGGACGGATACCGACGCTCCAGCTCTGAAAGTATTCAACTCGGAACCCGCTAGTGGTGACAGAGGAAGAGGGAGGCTTCCACTGCGATGAAAAGATAGGGTTGCCAGATTTTTTATGCACGAAATCAGTACGTTAGACTCTTTCATGCTAAAAAGAATCAGTATTTTTCCAGTACGTGTTTATTCAAAGCAAAATTATGAATGTAAGTAACATATAATCAGGGTTTGAAAAACTGTCAACACAGCAGCAACAGCACTATTATTTTTGCTATTGCTTCGCTTTGAAATTTTTGATTTTCATTTGAACGGCTTCGCTTTTGCTGTGATTTTGAGAACTGTATTCTTTTTATCGGCAGTTTATTGAAAAAAATGTATTGCTTTCGATTTACTGTGACTATGCTTTTGCTGTGCTGTGATCTGCTTGACTGTGCTGTGCACATGAAGTTTTGCAGCATGGTGTATTATCTACACTGAGAAAGAGTTTAGTTACGTCAACTAAATATGTTTTTATCAACACATGATTTGGTTATAGTTACATTAATCGTTTATAGTTACCAAATCATGTGTTGAGAGGAATATATTTGGCTGACTTTTTTCTGAGTGTACATATATACATACATAAAATGCATATGATTGACTCGCCAGGAGTGAGTACTACCCACAAAATTTGCGAAACCATTTCCTTTGCTTAATGAATTTAACATAGAGATGTCATCCAAGCGGTACGCGTAGCATGACCTTTCGCTAGCTAGTTGCCGTACAATCAGTAATGTATGGAATCTTTAGTTTATGGTCGTCTCTTGTCACCAGTAGAACTACAGGGTAGTGTATTTGTGCATGCATACATATAACATCTTCTATTACTGCTGATTTGATGCATCGCAGCTAAGTTATAGTCAAATTTCTATTGATTTGTGATGCTTCCCTGTTATTGTGCTTCCACAAATTACTTTTGAACTGTCTGATTGCTTTCGAAATTTCACAGCAAAATGGCAGCCAAAGCATTTGCTTGTTTTCTGAGTTGCTGTTGCTTTGCTTTCCATATCATAAATCCCGAAGTCAAAGCACAGCAAAAGCAAATTAAATTAAAAATTACAGCATTTTCAAACCCTGCATATAATACTTTAAAACGCCGGAGTCATGTTCTAAACCATATTTTGGTATATAAATAAAATATAGTTCATAAAAAATAAGGGTTCTTCATTTTAACATGAGTGTACACATTATTGTACACAGGAGCCCATAAATTGTTTTATATTTATGACATTTTTTAATAGCAAAAATGAGACCACTTCGATTTTTAGTGTTTAAATAGTCATAGAATTCTATACACTTCATTTTGAAGTTAATTTTAATTTGAAGTTCACTTTCAAACAATTTAATTAGAAGCCGGTTTCTCTCTTTGCGCCAGGAAGCAAACTTTATACTCAAGATCCCCTCAGTTGCTTCGTTTGAGTGTGGTATTGAAAAAAGCAAAATTACGTGTTTGTTAAAACTGTGAAAAAGTAGGGATGTATATTTCCTCATGGCTTAAATAAAATTTTCTCAACTACGCAAAATTTTTGCTAGACTAATTCGCTAAAAAGAGTATCTCCTCTATGTCTTGTATGCAAAACTCTTTCACGATGTCAATAATAATAATAATAATAGATTGGCGCTTACACATATGTTAGTGTTTGGCCGAGCTTCTCCTCCGATTTGTGGCGTGCGCCTTGATGTTGTCACACAAAGCGGAGGGACCTACAGTTTTACGCCGACTCCGAACGGCGATTGTATTTTTATGAGAAGCTGTGTTTCATAGCAGAAATACACTCGGAGGTTTGCCATTGCCTGCCGAGGGACGACCGCTGTTAAGAAAAAACTTTTTTTCTATATTATTGCGCTGTTGCTTTGACCAGGGCCCGAACCCAGGTGCTGATGAGTGAATGCGCTCACTGCTTACCACTACACCACAGCGGCTGACAATGTCAATAAATTGAGAAAAAAGAATTGCAATTTCTAGGTAAAAGAAACTCGGATATTCAAATTTGTTGTTATTAAAATTAAAATTACTTTCGAGATAACTAACAACACTCGATAAAACAACCTCAGCCTTATTTTTAAATAATTTAAGCCATCATATTATCGCAACTGGTACATAACGACCCGGCGATATGCCAATAAAAGAATTGATCTTTTCGTTATATTAATTTCTTGGGCATATCAAACATTATCTGAAATATGTCAATTATAATTACATAAATTATTTTCTTCTTACTTTTTACAGTACAGTTTAAGGAAGTTCCAATGCTTAACCTTAAGAAATCCTAAAGTATTTTGTTTGAATTGAAAGATCAGTACAAATCAGTGCAAATTTTGAAAAATAAGGATATTAGCATACTGATTGAAGCAATGAATAAAATCAGTAGAAGAGTTGAAAAATCAGTACCACTGTACTGATCAAATCAGTACGTATGGCAACCGCATGAAAAGACCAAGTGGAAAAAGGACTTGGCTTCACTTGGAATTTCATAGAAACTAATTTTTTGATACAGTGGCGGATCCAGAGTGAAGTTTTGCTGGAAGAACTTTCATAATGATGTACCTTATTTAATGATTGTTTTAATAAGTAAACATAAACTTGATTTTTGATGCATATAAATATATACACTGGCGATCAAAAGTAAGTGCATGTTGATTTTCGTTAAATATTTGCAACATTTTTCAAGTGATTTTTTTTTCTTTACACAGAATTTAGAAAATTAAACAACTTTTCATAAAAAATGTTAACTTTTTAATCTGAGTTTTTAGAAAATTTTTGGGTACGCAACAGAGTTGTGAAAAATGCATTAATTTTTAAATTTTTAATTTAATTAATTTTTTAATTAAAGCAATAATGTTAATGTAAACAATTAATGCATTAATTTATGAAATTTAATGCAAATGAATATTTCAATGCATTGATTCTGCAAAATGTAATGCTAATGAAATTTTTTTTTCATTAAATTATCCAAGCTAATGCTAATGAAAAAATTTTAATGCACCAAAGTGTTTAATACTTTTGCTCGTTTGCATTATTAAAAACCATTAAATTTTTTTTTTAGTAAAATATAAATAACCCCTTTTGGAAGAACTTGGAATAATTACTAATAGTTTTTTCAGCTTCATTATATTATGTGTATTTGTAGAAAAATTCGTCTAAACATTGTTAGATGTTTTATGAAAATGAAAGCCAATGTGCATGCAACGCAGTTCTTTTTTAGATTTTTATGTTGATTGTTGATGCATATGCAGATAGCCAGTTTAGCAGCGCATATACACGACTGAGGACCTACTCTGATCTAAATAATCAACAAACCGTTTTTTAGTTCCATTTGGCAATGTGATTTTACCTATTTAAAGACAAATGCCATTGAACCTGACATAGTGAAAACCAGCCTTAACGACCGTCACTATCATTTTTGACCTTAAAATTCTACCCTCAACTTCAGCAATGAATTTTTACTTCAAAATAAAATTAGTTAATGGGTTTTTAATGCTTGTTATAATTTTAATGCAATAAATTATTGGAATAGCATTCATTTAAACATTTTAATGTTAAAACAAAAAAAAAGTCATTAGCATTATTTCTTCGGAATTAATGCATTGAAATTTTCATTTACATTAAATATCAAAAATTAATGCATTAATCTTTTTCATTTACATTAAAATGCTATGCATTAAAAAATTTAATGCATTTTTCACAACTCTGGTATCCAATTACCTGAAATTCTAGTACAACAGGTGTAGTGCAGAGTTGTTACCTACCATAACTACGGTGACCATATTAACCAACGTAAAATAAAAGACATTTTTTTCAAAATGATTTGGGAATACGTACATACAACTTGTATGATAAAACCTTGCCCATANACGTGATCTGTCAAATACTAATGCATGAAAATCCTAACCTCAAAAAAATCACCCGTTATAAGTTCCTCTGCTGAAGCGAAAAACGAAGCCAAATCCTTTTCAAGGACTTCGCCATCCTTTGCTACCAAAATGCGTTTACCATAATTCAGTGGTTCAAAATTGGAATTCAATTTTCATAAGATTAAAAATAATAATTAATACTTGATTTTTATTTTTTCGCTTAAAAATAATGATTATTTTATGATTTTTATTTGTTCGCTCAATGATAATAATTATTTTTGAGTTTAATTTTTTAAATTGGAAAATAAAAATCATAAAATAATCATTATTTGTGATCGAAAATATAAAAATCAAATAATTATTTCCGTTGACCGAAAAAATAAAACTCAATAATAATTATTATTTCTAAGCGAAATAAATAAAAATTTCAAAATAATGATTGATTTAAATTATTTTACTCATAATAATTACCGTCCCTGTTTTTTTATAACATTTCAAATTTTTTATTTTTTATTTTTTTTTTGTTTTGGGAGAACCATACAATTGTTTTCAACTAGTTTTTGTTATGTAACATTTATTAACTGGAACAGGAGAATACATTTTCTTCAAAGTTGCTACTTTTTCTGCATTTTGCACTAAAAAAATTAATATAATCAAATTAAAATTCAGAAATCAGGCTCAACTGATCTCTTGCAAATATTGTAAGCTTTCATAAAAAAAATAAAAATTAATCAAATTGAGTGAAAAATGAAGTGAATGAATGACTGCCAGTTTTGAACCACTCTGCAGCAGTTCTATTTCAACGGAACTGGAAACTCAGCGTGCAACACGATCATGGGCACAACTTTCCCTGTGCTTTATAGATCGTACAAATATCACCGATTCAATAGAAACCCTTAAGTGGGGTGCGAAACAAACTCGCGAAAGTTTTCCTTATATTTTATAAGGGTCATTTCTATTTTTCATATTCTGCGTTTAAAAATTTACCTCTGAAAAATACAGAGCCGATTTAAAGGACAATTTAAGAAATAAAGGACAAAAGGCGTCCCTTATTGTGAAAAAACTATAAAGGACAGTGGGTTAAAATAAAGGTCTGTCCTTTAAAATAAAGGACGGATGGTCACCGAAACCATAACACACATGACGGAGCCCGTATTGTTACTCCACAAATAGAACTCAATGAACAAAAGCTGGAATCAATGTATATTCACATTTCTAAGGTGGTAGAAATATGTGCTTGTGAAAGCAGATTGACCATGAGAGATCAATTATATTTGTGGCAATTTATATTTCTCCCAATCAACCAGTAAATAAAATTATTGAATTCATCCACGAGAGTTTAATAAAATACACACCAGAAGTATGGCGGATTCTTAAAAAGGACTGCAATAAAATTCCGTGATTTTAAGCGGGGATTTCAATGCGAATTATGCGTTAGACTCAGCGCTCTCTTTGGTTGAGTTCCTCGGCATCAAATTAGATTTAACAAGTAGGAAAGTCTAAGTTCGGGCGGAGCCGAACATTAAATACCCGGCGCAAGTATTTAATATATGACCTTTCCGAAAGCTACCGCTACATGCTAAGCTGGGGCGTATCAATTTTGAGTAAATTAGAATCCTTAAATTTCGAAATTTTGAAGTTTCAAGCAGTTCTGAAATTTACCGTTATATGAAAAGCGGCCTCAATTTCAGTCCGATTTCAATAATTTTCAACGTTTTGCTTATATGTGGCAAGCACAATAACCATACCGAGTTTTGTACAAATTGGTAGAACGGTTACCGAGATACATATAAGTGATCATATGTGGGCGATGCCACGCCCATTTTCCAAAATTTTATCATAAACGTATTTCCTGGTTAAGCATTGTTGCAAGCATAAATTTTGAATAAATTAGCTTTAATATTTACTGATTTATCGAAGATTTTGTATTTCCCTAAATTACCGTTATATGGGATGTGGGCGTGGTTATTGTCCGATTTTAAAAAATTTCGGCCATTCNCAGCGGTTACCAAGATATACACATGTAACCATAAGTGGGCGTGGCTACGCCCATTTTCCAAAAGTTTATAATATTCTGATTTTTCGTCTAAAATGTATTGTAAATATCAATTTTGAGTGAATAATCTCCAGTAGTTACTAAAATATCGCAGTTTTCGTATTTCTGAAAATTACCGTTATATGGGAAGTGGGCGTGGTTACAGTCCGATTTCGCCCATTTTCAATACCAACCTACCATGAATAAATGGAAACCTACATACCGAATTTCGTTTAGATATCTCAATTTTTGCTCGAGGTATCGTGTACATGGACGGATGGACAGACGGCTTAATCGACTTCTCTATTCATTCTGAGCATTTATGTATACATTTGTCTATATCTATCTCGATTCGTTTTGGCTGTTACAAACAACCGTTATGTGAACAAAATTAATATACCCTTGTGCACAAGTGCGCTCGGGTATAAAAATGTTGAGCACGCGAGCGTGGTTTAACAAATTTGTATGTTGGGTGTGATTTAAATGTAAAATCTGTTGAAATAACCTGTACAATCAACNCACAAGTGCGCTCGGGTATAAAAATGTTGAGCACGCGAGCGTGGTTTAACGAATTTGTATGTTGGGTGTGATTTAAATGTAAAATCTGTTGAAATAACCTGTACAATCAACAATTTTGCAGTAGGGCTGTTCAGGATTTTGTGCATATGCACTTGCATTTGCATATTCAGTGCGTTTGTAAATTTACAACAATAAAATGCAAACGGTTGCCATGACTGCAAGCAAAAAATTTGCAAATGCAAATGCAAATCCAAGACTATTTGCCCAAGATACTGAACAGCCCTAATGTCTTTTTCTGACTGTAGTTACGCGGTAACTACACAACATTTATGCAAGATTTTTCGCAATATGAAGCAAACGGTTTCAGCGCCAAATATGAAGAAGGAGAGCGTTACATAACGAGTAATACTGTGACAACAGCTCAAAAATCTTCTTTTTCGAGTTGTGACAGTCTTAAGATAAATTAGCCTTGCTAAAATACATATGCACAGATATTGATTGCACGCAAACGGTTTCAGCGCCAAATATGAAGAAGGAGAGCGTTACATAACGAGTAATACTGTGACAACAGCTCAAAAATCTTCTTTTTCGAGTTGTGACAGTCTTAAGATAAATTAGCCTTGCTAAAATACATATGCACAGATATTGATTGCACGCTCGCTCAACAGCTCTCTACCACCACCTAATTTTTCATCCTTGTGTTGCGATGCAATATCCATACACACACATACATATGTATGTAAGTATAAACGCATAGAAACATTCACACGTATGTAAATACATAAATAAATATGTACGTATGTAGGTACATATAAATGCCTGCATAAAAACAAATTCTCGTTCCACGTTTTTACATTTTTAAAGGCCAAGTGTAAAATTGATATTTGCACTTGTCTCTGATGCACCCTGCTGGCCGTCTAAATTACATACACATGTACATATGTTTTTGCATACGCACGTTTATAACTGCACCTGCACACAGTGTATGTATGTATATAAGTACGAATGAATGTGTATATAGAACATTTAGTACATATCTACATACATATGTGTGTATGTACTTACATATTCATATCTACTACTTACTGTGCAGAAAGGCACATTTAAATTCATGCAATTCAATTAAATTCATACATATACATTATCGTGGGCCGAAAATCCGCTTTTTTACAATTTTGATTGGTAATAGCAAAAATATGGTTCATTATGCTCTAAAAAATACCTGTGTGAAATGTGAAAGTTT